AAAAAAAAAAAAAATGAAAAGGCAACCTGCTAAATGGGAGAAAATATTTACAAATCATATATTTGAAATGGGGCTAATATCCAAAATATATAAAAAAACTCACACACTCAATAGCAAAAACAAATAACAAAAACAAAAAAAAAACCCCAATCTGATTAAAAAATGGGCAAGGGATTTGAAAAGACACTTCTCCAAAGATGACATACAGATGACCCAAAGACACATGAAAAATGCTAAACATCACTAGTTAACAGGGAAATGCAAACCAAACCACAATGATATATTACCTCCCACCTATTAGAATGGCTATTATCAAAAAGACAAGGAGATGGAGGAGAGGGCACCCCTGTGCACTGTTAGTGGAAATGTAACTTGGTACAGCCATTATGTAAAACAAGATGGAGCTTCTTCAAAAAGTTAAGAGTAAAGTTACCATGTGACCTAGCAATTCCTCTTGGTTATTTATCCAAATAAAATGAAAATTCCAACTCAAAGAGACATATGCATCTCCATGCTCATTGCAGCATTATTTACATTATCTAAGATATGGAAACGACCTAGGTGTCCCATCAGTGGATGAATGGATAAAGAAAATGTGATGTAACTGCCCCCACTGCCCAACACACACACATACACACAATATGCAATGTTATTTAGCCATAAAAAATAATGAAATCTTGCCATTTGTGACAACATGGATAAGAGGGCATTATATTAAGTAAAGTAAATGGACAGAGAAAGACAAATACCATTTGATCTTATATGTGGAATCTAAAACAAAAAACAACAGGTTCATAGAGAGAACAGATTGGTGATGGTCAGATATGGGAGGTATGTAGTGGGCAAAATGCATGAAAGGGGTCAAAAGACAGAAACTTGCAGTGAGGAATAAGTCATGGAATGCACAGCCTGGCGACTAACTGTACTGCATATTTAAAAGTTGCTGAGTAAATCTTAAAAGTCTCATCATAAGAAAAAATGCTCTAACTATGTATGGTACTGGATGTTAATAACATTGTGACCATTTTTCAGTATATACAGATACTAAAGCATTATGTTATATACCTGAAATATGTTATATGTCAGTTATACTTCAATTTTAAAAAAAAGGATGCATGGGCCCCTTGCTCCATTCTGGCCTGTGCAGTACTGGGTCCACACCTCAGTCTGGCTAGCCTTGCCCCGCTAACTTCTGAAGGGGCTCGCTCTTACGCTGTCTCATGGAAGCCAAGGCTGACTAGAATCTGAAAATTCTGAGTAGAGAAACAACATTCCTTTTCCTTAACATGGCTACTAGGTTTATGTTTGCTACCCAACTTTTCAAACTAATCATTACTACTTAGAAAGATGCGTGCATGCATGCATGCGTGTGTCTGTGTGTGTGTAGTCTATGATACAAGCAAAGAAACTGTTAACATCATCAGGATGACTACTTCTAGGGAGAGAGAAGGGGCTTGTAACTGGGGAGAGGCATACAGGAAGCTCCGAACAGGTTCCTGTGCCCAGGCTGCCCACTGCACAACTCTAGGGGGTGCCATTCACATAAACGCTGTTGCCTTAAGTTTTGAAGAAAATCCATTTCTTTATCTGAGTAGTGGGTACATAGGCATTAATATTCTCTAAAAAGAATACTATATTCTCTACAAAACAATTCATACATTTTATATAGACTTCTGAATATGTTACTGACTATATCAGGATTTGGCAGACTTTTTCTATAAAGGGCTGATAGTAAATATTTTAGGTTTTAAAGCACATAACGTAATGTAAAGCTGTTGCAATGTAAAAGCAGCCACAAGCAATACAGTTGACCCTTGAACAAAACAGAGGTTGGGGCACCAACCCCCCATACAGTCAAAAATACACACATTACTTTTGACTTCCCAAAAACTTTACAACTAATAGCCTACTGTTGACCAGAAGCCTTAGTTGATAACACATATTTTGTATATTCTATATTTTATATAGAGTTGTATTCTTACAATAACATAAGCTAAATAAAAGAAAACGTTTTTTTTCAAATTGTTGCAAATCTCCAAAAAATTTTCTGATATATTTATTGAAAAAAATATGCATATAAGTGGGTCCTTTCAGTTCAGACCTATGCTGTTCAAAGGTCAACTGTATATAAATGAATGGGCCCCTCTTCTGTTTTCCAACAAAATTTTGTATACAAAACCAGGTGACTGAATTTGCACTTTACCAATTACACAATTAAATCTTTCAGAGTGTAGCTGGGGTTTGTACAGGGGATTGAGAGACTGCAAGAAAGGAATCATTGGGAGATATAGTTAGAAGGTCAATAATGTAGCCTCCTGTAATCTGTTTATTTTTTTAATAAGTTATGACTATTGCAAATGTTTGATCTGTATTTGACTTTAAATGAACTTGGAGCTTTGTCCTCTGTAACATAAGATCGGGAAAAAATTGCTGTTTGAACCTTGATTTCATTAGGGATCCATTTTTATCTGAATCATCTATATTAGAAGACTAATTCTTACATTAATGGCAAACCCAACAACAGGAAGACTATCTGTTATTGACTGATCATTACATGATGTCAGGCATTTTACACACATTATTTTCTCTTCTTCACAACAGTTCTTCAAAGTAGGTAGGTATTGTATTTTGGTCAACATTTTATAACTGAGAAAAGCTAACTTTCCCAAGGCCATACAGCTAATTAAGCTGAGATTGGAGCTTGAGTTTGTCAGCTGCAAGTTCAGTCCTTTTTCCTCCTATCTGCTACCTCTGTAAAAGGCATCCTGTTTTAATGCTGCCAAAATAAATTTGGTTTTAGATTGTCTTCGCAGTTTTACTGACTTAGAAGAACTTGATGAGACAGAGTTATATATGTGCCACAAATGCAAAAAGAAACAAAAATCCACTAAAAAGTTTTGGATTCAAAAACTACCCAAGGTAAGTGTTGAATTTAAAAATATAATGCAATTTCAAGGGAAAAATGCTTGATAAGACAAATATTTTTAATATTATAGAATAGGATCTGAACTGTATTGGTCTCTAGGGTTTTCAGTAAAAGCTAAATAAATCCTTTTGAGAATGCGTAATTAAATGTGCCCCAATGACACAATCCAACGTGTGTGTGTGGGAGGCGATTTCCACCACACCACCAAAAAGCAATTCTCTGACACTAGCTGGGCGTCCTAAATAATTCACCTCACTTCTGACACTGTATCCGGTCCCACAGGCTAAGGGCTCAGTCCATGACCATCCTCCACCACAGATGGTAATTGCACACCCAGGTTGTTACTTTACACTTCTAATTAACAAACTACAGATTGAAGATTCCCATGTCTCCCCTCCTTGGACTTCGGACACCAGTCACAAGGCCAGGTTGTTACCTGTAATTCTGACCAATTGCCTATAAATCAAGAGGTTTCCATAACCCCATCCTTGATTTCCATTAATTTGTTAGAATGGCTCCCAGAACTCAGCAAACATGTTTGTGCACTGGGTTACTGATTTATTACAAAGGATATTAAAGGATACAAATCAACACCCAGATGAAAAGATGTATGGGGCAAGGTCCCAACAAAGGAACTGCTGTCTTCACGGAGTTCTGGAACCTGGCACAGTGGCACATGGAAGTGTTCTGGTTTCTCAGCCTGGAAGCTCTCCAGACCGCATCCTTTGGGTTTTTATGGAGGCCCCATTACAGAGGCACAACTCTTTAAGTCACTGGCACCACTTAGCTTGCAGTTCCTTTTGCCTCCCCAGAAGTCAGGGGTGGAACTGTAAATTCCAACTCTGTAATCATTTGGTTGGTTCTCCAGGCAACCAGCCCCTATCCTTAGGTGAGGACCAAAAGTCACCTCATCAACATAACAAAAGTCAGCTTTATTGCTCTCATCACATAGGCAATTCCAAGGGTTTTAGGAGATCTGTGCCAGATCTGTGCCAAAGACCAAACACAAATTATAAATCACAATGTCATAACAAGATACGCATGGATAAACCATTATCAAGGATAGAAAGAAAAATGGAAAGGCCACCTAAATTATTATTTGAGAGAGATTTCTACCAAGTAGTTCATTTTGACTGAAAATAAATTTGGTGTTTGTTTATAATCTTTGTCCTTATCTCTCATCCAGGTGCTATGCTTACATTTGAAAAGATTTCACTGGACAGCATATTTAAGAAACAAAGTTGATACATATGTAGAATTTCCACTGAGAGGCCTAGACATGAAATGCTACTTACTGGAGGTAAGGTGACCTTTGTTAGAATGGTGAAAAGATGGCACTGCTGTAACATTCAGTCTGCACAGAGAGAGGGTGGAGGTCACTGAGAGAGAAGACATGATACAAGCAAAGAAACTGTTAACATCATCAGGATGACTACTTCTAGGGAGAGAGAAGGGGCTTGTAACTGGGGAGAGGCATACAGGAAGCTCCGAACAGGTTCCTGTGCCCAGGCTGCCCACTGCACAACTCTAGGGGGTGCCATTCACATAAACGCTGTTGCCTTAAGTTTTGAAGAAAATCCATTTCTTTATCTGAGTAGTGGGTACACAGGCATTAATATTCTCTAAAAAGAATACTATATTCTCTACAAAACAATTCATACATTTTATATAGACTTCTGAATATGTTACTGACTATATCAGGATTTGGCAGACTTTTTCTATAAAGGGCTGATAGTAAATATTTTAGGTTTTAAAGCACATAACGTAATGTAAAGCTGTTGCAATGTAAAAGCAGCCACAAGCAATACAGTTGACCCTTGAACAAAACAGAGGTTGGGGCACCAACCCCCCATACAGTCAAAAATACACACATTACTTTTGACTTCCCAAAAACTTTACAACTAATAGCCTACTGTTGACCAGAAGCCTTAGTTGATAACACATATTTTGTATATTCTATATTTTATATAGAGTTGTATTCTTACAATAACATAAGCTAAATAAAAGAAAACGTTTTTTTTCAAATTGTTGCAAATCTCCAAAAAATTTTCTGATATATTTATTGAAAAAAATATGCATATAAGTGGGTCCTTTCAGTTCAGACCTATGCTGTTCAAAGGTCAACTGTATATAAATGAATGGGCCCCTCTTCTGTTTTCCAACAAAATTTTGTATACAAAACCAGGTGACTGAATTTGCACTTTACCAATTACACAATTAAATCTTTCAGAGTGTAGCTGGGGTTTGTACAGGGGATTGAGAGACTGCAAGAAAGGAATCATTGGGAGATATAGTTAGAAGGTCAATAATGTAGCCTCCTGTAATCTGTTTATTTTTTTAATAAGTTATGACTATTGCAAATGTTTGATCTGTATTTGACTTTAAATGAACTTGGAGCTTTGTCCTCTGTAACATAAGATCGGGAAAAAATTGCTGTTTGAACCTTGATTTCATTAGGGATCCATTTTTATCTGAATCATCTATATTAGAAGACTAATTCTTACATTAATGGCAAACCCAACAACAGGAAGACTATCTGTTATTGACTGATCATTACATGATGTCAGGCATTTTACACACATTATTTTCTCTTCTTCACAACAGTTCTTCAAAGTAGGTAGGTATTGTATTTTGGTCAACATTTTATAACTGAGAAAAGCTAACTTTCCCAAGGCCATACAGCTAATTAAGCTGAGATTGGAGCTTGAGTTTGTCAGCTGCAAGTTCAGTCCTTTTTCCTCCTATCTGCTACCTCTGTAAAAGGCATCCTGTTTTAATGCTGCCAAAATAAATTTGGTTTTAGATTGTCTTCGCAGTTTTACTGACTTAGAAGAACTCGATGAGACAGAGTTATATATGTGCCACAAATGCAAAAAGAAACAAAAATCCACTAAAAAGTTTTGGATTCAAAAACTACCCAAGGTAAGTGTTGAATTTAAAAATATAATGCAATTTCAAGGGAAAAATGCTTGATAAGACAAATATTTTTAATATTATAGAATAGGATCTGAACTGTATTGGTCTCTAGGGTTTTCAGTAAAAGCTAAATAAATCCTTTTGAGAATGCGTAATTAAATGTGCCCCAATGACACAATCCAACGTGTGTGTGTGGGAGGCGATTTCCACCACACCACCAAAAAGCAATTCTCTGACACTAGCTGGGCGTCCTAAATAATTCACCTCACTTCTGACACTGTATCCGGTCCCACAGGCTAAGGGCTCAGTCCATGACCATCCTCCACCACAGATGGTAATTGCACACCCAGGTTGTTACTTTACACTTCTAATTAACAAACTACAGATTGAAGATTCCCATGTCTCCCCTCCTTGGACTTCGGACACCAGTCACAAGGCCAGGTTGTTACCTGTAATTCTGACCAATTGCCTATAAATCAAGAGGTTTCCATAACCCCATCCTTGATTTCCATTAATTTGTTAGAATGGCTCCCAGAACTCAGCAAACATGTTTGTGCACTGGGTTACTGATTTATTACAAAGGATATTAAAGGATACAAATCAACACCCAGATGAAAAGATGTATGGGGCAAGGTCCCAACAAAGGAACTGCTGTCTTCACGGAGTTCTGGAACCTGGCACAGTGGCACATGGAAGTGTTCTGGTTTCTCAGCCTGGAAGCTCTCCAGACCGCATCCTTTGGGTTTTTATGGAGGCCCCATTACAGAGGCACAACTCTTTAAGTCACTGGCACCACTTAGCTTGCAGTTCCTTTTGCCTCCCCAGAAGTCAGGGGTGGAACTGTAAATTCCAACTCTGTAATCATTTGGTTGGTTCTCCAGGCAACCAGCCCCTATCCTTAGGTGAGGACCAAAAGTCACCTCATCAACATAACAAAAGTCAGCTTTATTGCTCTCATCACATAGGCAATTCCAAGGGTTTTAGGAGATCTGTGCCAGATCTGTGCCAAAGACCAAACACAAATTATAAATCACAATGTCATAACAAGATACGCATGGATAAACCATTATCAAGGATAGAAAGAAAAATGGAAAGGCCACCTAAATTATTATTTGAGAGAGATTTCTACCAAGTAGTTCATTTTGACTGAAAATAAATTTGGTGTTTGTTTATAATCTTTGTCCTTATCTCTCATCCAGGTGCTATGCTTACATTTGAAAAGATTTCACTGGACAGCATATTTAAGAAACAAAGTTGATACATATGTAGAATTTCCACTGAGAGGCCTAGACATGAAATGCTACTTACTGGAGGTAAGGTGACCTTTGTTAGAATGGTGAAAAGATGGCACTGCTGTAACATTCAGTCTGCACAGAGAGAGGGTGGAGGTCACTGAGAGAGAAGACGCTTCTATCACTGATCACTGCTCCCGACTCAGTCCTGGAATGCCTTCTCCCTTGTTCTGTAGCCCGAGAACAGCGGCCCAGAGAACTGCCTGTACGATCTCGCTGCTGTAGTGGTGCACCACGGTTCAGGGTAAGTGTGTCAGCGGGCGTCTCACGGTTGGGAACAGCATAGTGAAGACCTGCAGTTTTGCACCTAAATTCTCTAAAAAATGGACTCAGATTAACATTGAAGTGAGTGAAGTAGAGCTTTCCTTCAGTCTTGCTGTGAAAGAATATTCCTGAGAGGATGTTGTGATGCATGAAGAGAAGGCATATTAAAGCAAAATGGAGAATGTCCATTTGAGCCCAGTATTCAGAACCGGTCTGTTTGTCCACAAAAAAAGTAGTCTTTATTCCAAAGTCATATATGTCCTTTGCCAGTTGATACTTAAATCAGGGAAAAAATGGAAAACTATTTGCAGTAAGTTCTTTCATGTCATCTTCTTCAAAGATTCATTTTTCATTTTGTTGGATAACATTCTTGATTATATTTCTCCTGTAAGCTTGTATTAGAGATATATACCTTCTGATATTGGTCTGTTTGAGAATGGCTATTCTACTTTTGAACTTGGACAACCACTATCCATGTTGAAAATCCTTTCCTTCAGAACTTTGTAAACATTGCTCCATTCCTTCACCAATTACAGTATTATAAATGCCAAGTCTGCTACAAGTCTGATTCTCATTTCTTTACAGGCAGGTCGTAGGACCCTCTATCTTTGGACTTACAAAATTACTTTGGATAGATTCCTGCTTGATACCTGATAGGGACACTCTTAGTCTGGTGTTTTCAATTCACAGACATGTTATTTGTTCTACCCCATCCTCTGTTCTCTCCTCTGGAACCCTAGTAAGTGTACAGTAGTCCCCCCTTATCCACGGGGATGTATTCCAAGAATGCCAGGGGATGCCTGAAACCATGGATAGTAGTGAACCCTGCATATACTGTTTTATCCTACCCGTACATACATATCTATGGTAAAGTTTAATTCATAAATTAGTCACAGTATGAGATTAACAATAATAAAATAGACCAATTTTTACAATATAGTAGAAGCTACTGAATGTGATCTCTGAAATAGCTTATTGCACTGTATTCACCCATCGTCTTATGATGACATGAGATGATAAAATGCCTCATGAGATGAAGCGTGGCAAATGACGTAGGCACTGTGACGTAGCATTAGGCTACCATAGACCTGATAACACATCAGAAGGAGAATCATCTGCTGCTGGACCACAGTTGACCCTGTGTAACTGAAACTACAGAAAACAAAAGTGCAGATGAGCGGGGACTACTGCACAGTAAACTTCCTAGATCTTGCACTTACTTTATTCTTTAATGATTACTATCTCTTTGGTTCTGAAAACTACAGTGGCCTGTTTTTTCAAGTCACCAATTTGGGTTTCATCTGTATCCAAATTGAAGATTAGCTCCTTCCTGAAATTTTAATATTGTGGCAATCACATTTTTCTGATAATTTCTTTTCATGACACCCTATTCTTGTTTTATGTAGTATTTTCTTGAAACCATTCATACTAATTAGAATTTTTAGTTTCCTTTGTTTCCTGCATTTAATTCCTCAGTGGTTAACTGCTTTACTTGTTCTTCCTGGCACTTCTCTTTCATGCTTTTTCTCCCTTTAAGAGTTTGAGGATTTTTGGTTGTTTATTCACAATAATAAATGAAGGACGGAACTAAGCATCATTGGTAAATGCTAAAGGTTTTCCTAGCAGTTATAAACATCTCTGTTCTACCTGCAGGCTTTTCTCCTGCCTGGGAGGGCTGACTGTGGGGCTCCACTGGTGAGTGGTAGGTCATGCTGACAGAGAAAAAGCCCTTGATGGCCAGAGTAGTGGGGGGAGGCTCTTCCCTGAAGGCAGATCACTTTTCAAGTTCTTAAGTTTAGGTTTTTCCTCTCTTACGGGAAATCTGGTCCTCAGTTTCCCATGTTTCCATAGGCCTTGACCTATGCTTGTTGAGAGTTCCTTAGCTGTTTGGATTCTCCACTAATCCAGTGCCTAATGAATACCACTTTATGTGTTCTGGAAAATTCTCAATTCTTGGTCAGTCGGTGGCGCTCTTCCTTGTTTCCCACTGTCAGTGTGTTCCTTGTCAATTCAGTGGGTTTTAAGAAAGATAAACATGTGAGCTTGGTCAGTCGTCTTAAACCACAAGCCTCTAGGATTTATTCTTTAATTATAGTACTTATTAAAATTTATTGTGTATTTAACAAATTACATGGCTGCAGAGACGTCTTGTGATTTCTGTAGTCTTTTCCTTTGATCTTCTGAATCTTCCTTACAGGGTTGGTTCTGGACATTACACAGCATATGCAGCTCACGAAGGTCGCTGGTTCCATTTCAATGACAGTACTGTAACACTGACTGATGAAGACACCGTCGTAAAGGCCAAGGCCTACATCCTTTTTTATGTGGAACGCCAGGCCAAAGCTGGATCGGATAAACTCTAATACCTCTTCTAAATCATTTGTCAACTATACCGGACAAACATTTCCAATTTTCCATAAATACTTGATCTAAGGTTTAATTTCATTATGCACTTTTCAATGTCCTGTTTTGGGTTTAGTTTTATTATGTCAATGGTAGTGACTTACTGAACATGGGCACCAACTAATTTTTTTTTTAGTTCTACCAGAAAACCTCAGCAGATATTTTGATTTGCTGCTTTAGTTGTAATAATTCAGTTTTTATATATAGTTTGAAGAACTTAGTTCTGTTTGACTTTTTTATATTAATGTTTTCAGTTCCCACTTTGAGGCACATTTACATCAATGCTTTGTTCCTCTCACATGCTGAAAGCAAGATGTGTTCCGGACTGTGAAGAGCAACATAACTGCCCGCTGCCTTTCCACAGCTGTCGTGGAGATCAGGCTGCCTCTAAGTCACGGATCACGTGTGCATGTATCTGTGGCCCACAGCACTTCAGTGACTGCTCAGTAATCACCCTTTTTGATTGTAAAAGCTAACTGAGGGCACCATTAAGTAGACCAGGTAATTGCTGCTCTTGGCATCTCTCAAGGCTGCTGCCTATCAGCACTAAATAAATTTGTTGGTTCAGTTGTACCTATACTGCAAATTCATGAATTACACTGTCGTTTTTATTTTGGGGCACAGAAAAGTCCAAATAAGATAAAATACATTTAGCATTTTGAAAAATTCTGTGACTTGGCTCCATGGTATACATGTTACACAGTTGGGGCTGGGATCGTCACCTCCAGGGTTGATTTCAACCATCACCTACACTTTACGTAACACTGTGGGGTCTGTTTTTATAGGAGAAAGTTAGTCTTTGATACTCTGGGTTTTAACATTGGCCTATCCTGGTAGCTGAGCAAGTTGAAAATATTCTCACTTTGAATAAGTAGAGTTGCTGTTCTTAATTTGAGTTGTCTTTGTTTTAAAATTGTTTTCAGAAAAATTAGGTACAAGTGCTATTTAGATGTAACTCAAATTGAAATTTGGAGCCAAAAATCCCATCTGAAGAAGGTCACTATAATTCTGCAAGTGTTCCAAGCCAGCCTACTGATTTCTGGAGTGGCGGTGGCATTCACTTGCAGATATGCAGAGAAGGAGCTCCAGAACAGGCAAAGGGCCACTTCATAGTCATCGCTTGTCCCAATCACTGTTTTCCTCCCTTCTCAATACTCTACAAGTTGTGAAAGCGGCAAAATGTATTTCATGTTGAGCCAGCTAAGCAGATTTCTTGGTAAACTTGTTTTTTCTATTAAAAGAAATGGTCAAGATTTTTTAAGTATATGAATGTAAAAAAAAAAATGTCTGGTGTCTATCCTAGGTCAATATTCGAAGTTACAGGAAAGGTGGCTCCATTTCCACTTTAATATTAGCTGGATAAATCATACATTTTCACAGTCAAAAACATCTGCTAAACACTTTAACATGACTAGGAGCAAATTACAATTATGTCTGAACTTGCACTATCCAGTTCAGCAGTCACCAGCTACATGTGGTCATTAAAATTTTAATTTTAAAGAAAAAACTAAAAACTCAGTTCTTAGTCCCACTAGCCACATTTCAAGTGCTGAGCAGCTGTCTGTGGCACAGGACTGCACAGGTTTCAACAGTCCCTTCAATGCGTACAGTTCTCTTGAACAGTACTGCCTTAAAATTTCATTCCCAAGAAAAATGCTTTGCCATCACGTTTATATATACTGAAAATTAGAGTCTAGAAGACAAATTAAGAGCAAAACATGTATTTTAAAAATACAATGCTAAATTACAGTTGACCCTAGAACAACATGAGTTTGAACTGCACAGGTACAGGATTTAAAAATAAATATATTGGAAAATTTTTTGAAGATTTATGAAAATTTTCTAAACATTTTCTCTAGCATTCTTGTAAGAATACAGTAAATAATACATTTAACATTATAAAATATGTGTTAATCGAGTGTTACAGGTAAGGCTTCCATTCAACAGTAAGCTATTAGTTGAGTTTTGGGGGAGTCAAAAGTTATATGTGGATTTTCTACTGTGTGGAGTCAGTACACCAACCTCCATCTTGTTCAAGGGTCAACTGTTCATTAGATTGCACCATACGAGGTTGGGATTTCACTGTGTTCTACAAAAATGACACTTTGACATAATGTGGTCTAATACATCAATACCGTAACACCACATGTATCTGAACTTGAAATGTGCATCTCAGATTTTGCTAATTATTGCCTATGAATCTAGGCTTTTGCTTAGAAGGTACACAGCTGTGACTTCTACCATTTGCACTTAGATATGAATCTCTGTGCATGGGCAGCTGTTGTGACTTCAACAATAAAGCCTTGGGCAGTGTTGATGCTCATGGAGAAAAGCTGTCTTTTTATACCAAATGTAACTTAGCAAAGACTGGACTATTTTGTTAGGGAACGTGGTCCTTAGGCTACTTCATTGGCTTAAGAGATTGGACACATCAGCTTTCTGAATTTTTGAAGTGTTTTTATTGCTTGATTTTATTTAAGCAGACATGTTTGAATGGTATCATGAAGGAAGACTCTTTGGAAAAGTGATGTAGTCCATTTGAACTGTGCACTTGAACACCAGTGATGTAAATGTGCCTATTTGTATTTAAAAAATTTAACTGTGTCGACTTATCACACCTATTTTAAAAGCTGATCTTTTTGTGCTCTTCAGGGCTTTTTCCCTTGTGCTATGTTGTCTCTCACAGGTATGTGGCTTCTCAGAGAGCTTAAGCTGAGGCAGGGCCTCACGCCGGGTCACATGGCTCCTTGGAACAAGAAAACTTTCTTGCAAGTCCTCCCACACAGGTGGGTGATAGCAACAGTTTGTGGCAACATAAATCTCTCTCCATGGTGGAGAAACCTTTGCTTATCCACTGTATTCTACTCAGTGTCTAGTGATAACAACTGTAATAGAATTACACTAGTAAAGTGTATGGGCCCTGGTGAAGTGTTAAATGTGTACCTCACCTGTGGAACCTACTCAGCAGCTTGGTTTCTGAGACTGGGGACATATTTTATTTCTTAAAGCCAAACCTCTCCATCATTGGTTTAGTGTACATAAACTGTTTAGGTGTACTTACCCCACTTCAACCTCCACTGTCCCCTGAACTCTCTCATGTCCCCACTGTTGCTGAAGCGGCCTCTTCACTCCAGCACTGGAAAAGCTCGTGAGCAAAGTGTTCCAGCACGCGTCCCGGGTGATGGGAGTGTAGCCGTGGGAGAGGGCCTCGCATGGGAGGTGGCTCATGGTGGTGCCTCTGGCGCCTTGCTGGGTGCAGGTCTTCCCCCTCAGGTCTCAGTGACAAACTCCAAGCCGTCTCTATAAGCACTGGCTGTGCTGTAATCATTTGCATTCAAACCTAGTTTGTATGACGGTGAGAGGATTAATTATGCAAGTGACTGATTTCACTTAAGTTGTAATCACATCCTTTTCTGCTTCACCAACCTGAACTGTTTTATGGCAAGTATTAAAGGTCTGGTCTCTTTCCCTTTGACTGTAATTTCTGAACCCCTTTCAGTGAAGCCAGGTAAAAGCCCACTCAAGCTGTGGGCCTTAGCAGTCAGCCAGCGGGCGGTGGGTCCTCCGAGGAGCCTCGCTGTCTGCGCAGCTGGTGTGCGGGGCCCAGCAGGGACCTGTAGGGGCAGGCTGGCGGCGGGAAGCGAGCATGGAGTGGCTGCCGTCGGGTGCTGAATGGACTTATCCTGTCTCTCCTTGTGGCAGCTGGTCTTGTAACAGTGAGGTCTCCTTGCCTCCTCAGAGGTAGTACCCTGAGGAACCAAGTTTTGGGCTCTGAGCAAAGGATACTGGTCATCCTTTAAAGTAAAACAAGCAAATAAATGCTGTTAAAAAAAATAAATATTCTGCCTCATGGTAAGCTCCCCTACACTACCTCTCCATCCCCATGGCCCCTGCAAACAGAAAAAAACAGAACCACCCTGTGTCTACACCCATCATTTTTCTGTATTACTTGCTTGTTACTATCAGTCTTTAAAATTAAAGACAGAGGCACCTGCAGCCCAGATAGTTTGCCTCCAGGTCACGTATTGCACATTCCTGCTCGGCAGCTGTGCTGGTCAGAGGCTGGGCAGCTGCCACTACAGCCAAATTGTGGAGCTCCACCCAGGCAAAAAGGCAGGCGCTGTGGTCTTCAACACACCAACAGCCAGCCCTTCCCCGCGGGCATGCACGCCACGCGGGCGCCCCCTGCACTGCGGATGCCTCCTATCCTACCCCCACTCCCCAGAAGCAGCAGAGGGGCCAGGCTCGAAATGTTTGCCTGCCCATCTTATGCCGCTCCGGCAGGCCTGCAGCGTGGGAACCACGACGCCAGTATGACACCCGTGGCCAGCGCGCTTACACTGACTGCTCTGCCTTTAAGAAGCTGGAAGAACTGCCTATTTCCAGGGCTTAGCTCCCTGAAAAATACTGGTTGGAAGGGGCTTGGGAGGGAGAACGGAGACAATAAGGCTTTCTAGTAACCCGTCTGTGGTGCTGCAGCGTACCTGTTGAATAAGTCCAACTAGAACCCAAAGAGGGCTTTCTGTTGTCCGCTGTAGTTTTGAATAATTTTAAATGATTAGCTTGAAGTATTAGTATTCGCTAGTTACCTTTCCTTGGGAATTGCTCCTTCCTTCCTTTTAGCTGTTCCTTGGTTTTTAAGAAAAGTCACCCCTTACACTTCACCCTACACTTCTCCAAGGCATGGACTGGCTGAGACTGGCTTTGCAGAGCAGAGGAGGCGAGAATGGCTGTTTCTCTTTCCTCAGCTGCATTCTGCTTTTGAAGACAAAGCCGCAGCAGGCCTGACCAAACCTTAGTTCCAGAAGGGGGTTTAGCACAGTGGCTTCATCTGTTGCCTCAGAAAACTGCTTCAACTCCGCATGAAGTATTCCCATTCCTTCCAATTTCAATTAAATGGGAGAACAAACATAACCACTGAGGTGATGGTTCCCTGGTCAAGCAGAGGAAAAACCTCCCCTCACTACTGCATAGGCAGAACGCAGGCTTTCCTATCAGCATCTCCCACCAGACAAAGCAGTGCACGAAGCAAGGATTCCACGGTGGGGACCTGTGGTAGGGCCCAGTGTAAGACTGGGAGCGAAGCAGTATTAGGAAATATACTAAGAAATCTCAACTCGTACAGGAAGGAAGAATTTAATGGCTAATCCCTCCAAGCACTGGCCTAGGCTTACAGGCGTGGGGGGTGGGGCAGCGTGCCCAGGGCTTTCGCGGAGAAGGTGGGGCGTGGCTGCTTTAAAGGGCAAGCTCAGACTAACATACTTGCAGCTTAAAATCATTTCAAGCGGTTTTGTACTAAAAGCTACCTCACTCATCCTGACATTTTGGGAAATACCGACTAGATATAATAGGACATATAACTGGAAAAATGAAAAGCCAAATAAACAAGTATAAAGCGTCACATATACAGAAGAACCTTGGAAAGATAAGCTACTTCAGATCAATGTTTTATGAAACAACTCAGGCCAAAAACAGCCAGCTGAGAAGTCAAGAAAATCGGTGGTCTTTCCAGGTACGCCTCAGGAACAGCCAAACCGGAGCGGCTCTCTGCGAGACACAATTGTCAACTAATAGGAAAAGAAATCCCTTTTAAGGAAACTAACTTCAATAGGCTGCTCTTATGCCAGGATTTTCAGTTCCTCTCTACATTAAACTGAACCCCAGACCCTGCATGTATGCCTGGATCCTGCCCCCCCAGCCCAGAGCCTCAGCACCAGTTGTTAGCCAAAAATAAACACCATTCCTCAACCATATATGTCCACCAGCCCAGAGCTGGGGAGGAGGGGCAGGAGGTAGGTCAGGTCCCCGGGCTCCAGTCACACTCAGTGTGGCCGCTGCACACCATGCACATCACCCACCTCAACCGGGAGTGTCTGCTGCACCTCTTCTCCTTCTTGGACAAGGACAGCAGGAAGAACCTCGCCAGGACCTGCCTCCAGCTCCAGGATGTGTTTCAGGACCCTGCACTCTGGCCCCTGTTGCACTTTCGGTCCCTCATTGAACTCAAGAAGGACAACTTCTTCCTGAGCCCCGCGCTCAGAAGCCTCTCCATCTGCTGGTACTCCAGCCGCGTGCAGGTGTGCAGCATTGAGGACTGGCTCAAGAGCGCCTTCCAGAGGAGCGTCTGCAGCCGGCACGAGAGCCTGGTCAATGATTTCCTCCTCCAGGTGTGCGACAGGTAGGCTGCCTCTTGAGCAGTGCTGGCTTTGCAGGCATGCAGGGCTCTGTGAGGCTTCGGGGTGGGGTGGGGTGGGGTGGCAGGGAACAGCAAATTACAAGACCAAGATGTCTCCGCCTTGGGGAGCCTCAGTCTAGGTCCACAGTGGACCCTCCAGGCCTGTCCACAGCGGAGGCCCCAGATAATGGGTTAAATCACAGGGGAAACAAATGCCCGTCCACCTCTTAGCTTCACAGGTCCCGGAGCTGCTGCCGCTGCAGTGAGCAAGAACCGGGCTTCAGCTGTCCCTGTCCTTCGGCAGCTGTCCTCCCTGGCAGCCATTAAGTTCTGGGTGGGTCAAGCGGGGCCTGAATTTTCAAGGTGAGGCCTTGGGAAAAGTTCCTAGATTCAGCAATCAGCTCGCAATTCCTTTCTTACCCTAGCAAGCGAACCCCAAGGCTTGTGAAATGCAGCCAGGGAAGGAGAGCTGCAGTGTTCTGGGTTAGATGAACCAGGCCAGGCTCGGAGAACGGGGGTGATGATCAGTAATCACAGTTTCCTCATTACAAACTTCCTAATCTTCACAGCACCCCTGGCAGGAAGGAGGCTGCTTTAGCCTAGTTTTTCAAATGAGCAAACCAGAACTCTGAGAGGTTTCGTGACTGACCCAACAATCTAGAATGGCCAGATTTTAGCAAAAAATCAAGACACCCAGTTAAATTTGAATTTCAGGTAGAATAATTTTTTGGTATAAATATGTCCTAACTATATCCTGTATAGGATCTGTCAGCCCTATTGCGGGCAGAGGCTGAGCCTCAGGCAAAGCTCCCCGCACCGTCGCAACCTCCTGAGGAGAGCAGCCATACAGGTCACAGACTTCACCAGTCCTGGCCTGCCTTTGAGGAATAGCCCCTTGGTTACTAACAAACTAGGCTCAGCCAGTTTGCTGCCGCCCAGGTTTAGCAGGTGCTCTTAACTGGCAGCACAACAGAATGGAAGAAAATAGTGTAGTGGCCCCCGCCCCCTTTCTTTTTTCAAGGCAGTAGTAAGAAAACAGAAGATGGATTTGGCTGGGCTCTACTGGGACCAGGCGATCTGTATGGGCTTCACAAGGTCCCGAAATCAGACTGGAGAGTGAAATGTGGGGGGTGAGGGTTGGAGACCAACAGTAAACTTCCCCGAAGTTACTCCCTTCTTGCTCTGAGAACCAGGTTTAATTCCCCCAAGCCGAGGTGCGGTGCGGACGCCACAGGTGCACCAAGGGGACCTGGCATCACAAAGAGCAAAAAGCTTGGTAGGTTTCCGTGCTGAGACACCCAGTTCCGCTACTGTCCCACCATGTGTCCCCAGCCCAAATATTTAAACTCTTTCAACCTTGCTTCTTCATTGCTGGCAAGTTCCTTAAACTCGCTGGGCCCATTTCCTCCTCTATAAATGGGTGCGGAGCCCTGCCCCGCCTCCCTGGCTGTTAGGGGGCCTCCTCGACCGGAGAGCTCCACGGCGGGGCAGGCGCTAACAGCATCCTCCCGGCCCTGGCCCGCGGTCTCCGCGTTGTTTTTGCAGGTGCCCTAATCTGGCAACCGTCACGCTGTCCGGCTGCGGCCACGTGACCGACGACTGCCTGGCGCGCCTGCTACGCTGCTGCCCGCGCCTGCGCGCGCTGCGCCTGGAGAACTGCGCGCGCGTCACCAATCGCACGCTGGCAGCCGTGGCGGCGCACGGAGTTGCGCTGCAGACGCTGCACGTGGACTTCTGCCGCAACGTGAGCGCGGCCGGCCTGCGCCGCCTGCGCGCCGCTTGCCCGCGCCTGGCCCTGCACGCAGAGCACAGCGCGGCCATGATCCCCGACCAGCCGCCGCGCAGCCCTTCGCAAGCTGCTACCGCTCTAGGCCCGGGCGACGGGAGGAACACCTGGCGTGGCGTTCCAGGCCGAAGCAGCAGCCTGGCTGCGAACCCTAACTCCAACAACTCCCAGGCTGTCGCCACATCTTATGAGCGTCGGTTTCCCCGTCTGCAGAATGGGGATCCTTAAAGCCTACCTCACATTACTATTTTATACATACGACGAATGCGCGATTAAACGACCGGATGGATGCTTGGAAAACACTTCGGTGGTTCTAGCTAACTAAACAGCAACTTTCTCTGCGGGTCCGCCTCCATGAGGGAGCAGAAGGCGCTTACCCCATCCACGGGGACTGCGATTGCCACCAGGGGTATCTAAGCCCATCTTGCCGGGGCACTCGGGGCGTATGACCCCAGCGGTCGACCATTAGCTCCCGCAGTGCTGTTTGGGGCCCGGGGCGCGATCACAGGTTCCCTTCGTAAAGTGGCCTCTGTCGGAGCTGCGAGGGGAGGAGCCCGGGTCACCGCAGGTCGCCTTGGACCCCGCCACCCCGAGAGGAGGCTCCCAGCGTGGCCTGGCGGCAGACGCCAAGGGGCCCCCGCCTCCGGTGCCCACCTGTAGCTTTACTCCACGTCCACACCAGCCTGCTCCTTTCCTCGGGCAGATGCATTGCTAGGAGTGATTGCATACGCCCTATAGAAAATTATTTTTTGATTTGTAAACTGCATCGCTATCCTTTTGCATATAGAAGAAAATCATTTTAAAAACCCAAAGTATATTTGAAAACAAAAGCAGCAGGCTCAGTTAAATCCTTTGATAATGAAACCATAATAAACTGATACGAAGTTAGAATTTTTACCTGCTGGATATCCTGAAAGTGTGCACATGCCAGGACTTCAAATCAGGGCCTTAATCACTGATGTCTCACTTTTAGCCACCAAAGTAAAAGCTCTGCTACTCAGCCTCCTGGTCCCAGGTACATGGGGAAATCGGGGAAATCTTTGGGACTGTGGAGTGGTGGGCTATACCCACCCTCCAGCTCCACCCATCACCAGCTGTAACCAAGGCCCTTTACCTACCTGGGGTCAGGTGTTCATCTTTGTGAAAAGGACTCTTTATCCCTATTCACGGGTTCCAAATGCTGGGAAAACAGTGAGGAAAAAGGACAAATTCTGTTCTCATGGAGCTTATGTTCTGGGGCGGGTGAAGAGGTAGTAACTGGTATATAAGAAGGTAATAAGTACTGGGAGGAAAGTACAGAGTAGGGGGCTCTGGGAGTTGCTGGCAAGAGTTGAGGAAGGGGGAAACAACTTAAAATGGGTTAACCAATGTAAGCCTCATTGAGGAGGTGGCCTTTAATATATGAAAGGAGGGAGGCCGATGAACAGCCTTCCATGGGGAGGAAAATATTCCAGGCAGAGGAGATAGCCAGGGCAAAGGCCCCAGGCTAGGAGCATGGCTGGTGTTAGGGGAATAGAGAGGGGGTCCGTGTGGCTGAAGCAGAGTGAATGCAGAGCTGAAGATGCCCAGCCCAGCCTGCCCCTAGCAGGGATGATATACAAGTACGGCCCAGAGGCCTTAAGTTTTTCTAGGCAGAACCTGTGGGCAGACAAGCAGCGCTCCACCCCACCCCACCCCACGCCTCCAGGGACTGCTGAAGGCCTCAGTTGCTGGCCAGCAGGCCCCTTCACTGAGCCCCAGCCCAAAGTAATCCCTTTTCATTCCAGTGTGGGGACAACCAGCCTCTTCAGGCCACCAGCGGCAGTGGAATAAGACCGCCCACCGCTAGCCTAAGAGATGCAGGCTTCCAGTTTACCCACCATTGTTCTGGACTCTGGAGAGAAGCCCGGTGGGAATTGTACTTTTCTCCCCCTATCGTGAACAATGTTGAAAGCAAGCCCAGGCTTCCTGGGGGTTAAATGTTTGTTTAAAACAGAGCCACTTAAACCCCAGGGCTTTGCTTTCACCATCTCTGATAAGCCCCAGTTCCCAGCAGGCCCTGATGCCTAAATTGGTTTAGTTTCTGGCTCTCCTCTGACAGAGTGCAGGTCAGGCCTCTCCAAACCTCAGCTTTCTTATCTGTGTATGGGGATAGCTAGAGAATCTTGCTTCCAGGGTTCTTGTAAGGATTCTGAGATTGGAAAGCACAGGTCACTGCAAGGTCAGCTTCAGTGGGGTGACCTGCATCCCCGAGGCCCACTTTCCCATGGAAGCTCTTCAAGTTTGCTGACTCATCCTTCCATATCTAGTAACCCCTGTATACTGTACAGGGCTGTGCTGACACTTGTGTCCAACTTTGTTTCTTGGGCTCATTTGGCCCCACCCCTCCAGGGGAGCTTCGGGTCCCTGAGACAAGGGCCAGGAGAGGTACTCCCAGAGGTGGACACCGACAGATGCTCAAGGCTCTCCACAATGCCCTGGAAAGTCACTGTTCCTGCCACCAGGCACTAAGCAAGCACCTGATGAAACACAGTGCCCTGCTTAATCTAAGAACAACCTTCAAATTCTTCTCTCTTGTATAGAACACGGTGCACTGCCTACTTAACTAATCCACTGACTCATTTGTCCAATTAACATTTAACTGGGTGTGGCCACGTGCTGAGCCTGGCCCTCCCCACTGGACACCCTCCAGTCAGAACCTCACAGCTGAGGAGTCCTTACTTAGGTGTTCTCCCAGCTCTGCTGCCCATAACTGCTGACAAGTTATGAACTCTCTGAGCCACCATTTCTTTTTCTGTAAACTATGACCAGTACCTTCTCTGTGACACCATGATGAAGTTATATCTATAGTGCCTGGAGGTAGGGGCAGGGAAAGGAGTCTTCATATATGTAGGGGGCTGGAAAAGCCAAGTGCCTGGCAGAAGCCATGAGGCCCAGGCACTGGGAAGAAGTAAGCTGGGTCAGCACAGGGGTGAACACCTGATGGGGGACAGAGCCTTTGAGCACAGCTTGGAAGACTGACCTGAGCTCCCCAGGTTCCAGTCCAGCGGGCACAGTCAGCAAAGGCCGAGTTAGGAAGCCCAAGGCGCATCCAGAGGGGGTGGGGGATGGGAGCCTGTGTTCCCGAGTCACCTGGATATGGATGGCTTGGGGGTTATCTGTGCCCTCATAGCCTTCACTACAACACACCACAGGCTTTCACCAGCTCCTAACTCTTTTCACTTTAAGTCTGGCCAAAGCAGCCAATGGCCACACAGAGGAAAAGTTAGGGAGAGGGTGCAGAGCCTCAAACAAGGCAGGACAGTGCCCCGTGAAGAGCAACACGTGCTGCTGGCTGGTCTGTACAGGTACCTCAGTGCCAAAGGAGGCTGGGGCCACATGCTGCTAGGCCAGGGGCTCCTGACTGCTCCCTGGGAGGCAGAGCCTGCTGGCGGGAGGTGCCCTGAGGATTGTCTATAAGGACACACTGGCCTATTTTTGCACAGGCAGAATGTCTGGAGGGGAGTGACTGAGCCCCTTGGCTCCATCATCAGCAAGCTGAGGGGAAGCTGATCCAGCACTCTTTCTCTCCGGGCCTTGGGTTCTTGGTCTGTAAAGGGTAGAAATTGTCTGACCCCTTCCCTCTGGAACTCCTCGAGCTCTAGGATTCCACACCCAAGACTTGCTTCCTGGTGAAAACCACGCTCACCAGATGCAGGTTTCATGGCCAGCAGTCCTGAGCAACAGCCACAAAGCTGGGAGGCCCAGAACAAAACGGCACCTTCAACGGTCTCTGGGGAAATCTTCAATTTTAAAGGCTGCAGCTCAAATTCTCTCAAGACTGACTGTTCAAGGGTCATAAAACTGCAAGCATTTGTTATCTGAATGAGTCCAACAAACAAAAATACTGCCCAAGCTTCCACAGGGGCCAAAAGTGAACTTAGGAAAGTAAACACCAGCACTAGGCCCACTGCAGCTCTTCAGATCAGAGACCCACAGGTCTCTCTCCCAGACCTTCCAAAAGTTGAGTACAAAGATGACGGGTTTCTAGCAAAGAAACAGCATATGACCCAAGGCATCTGTGCAGGTTCTCCTCGCAGGGTCAGGCCTCCTGAGAAGCCATCAATCAGGCCTGACAGCAGGACCTGGAACTGTGAGCATCAGCCTGCTGAGGGTGCCCCTGCCCCTCAGTCCAGCCCAAACTCTGGCGGCAGAGGCCAGAGCCTCACAAAGATCAAGGCATTATTTTGATTTAAAATCACCTCTTGAGACTGCAGGTGTATCCTTCAGCTCGGCACATCCTCGGTGCAGCCCAGCAAGAGTGAAGAGCCACTTGTTACCAGGAACCCGCCCAGAAGGCCCTAATACACCCTCTCAGCTGTACTGTCCAGGATTTCAGCAGCACACACTTCTCTTCCAAGGGAAGTTCCTCCTGGCCCAGAGGCTTGGCCCATCCCTGGAGCAGGTGCTGCCTGCCCAGAGCCCTTCACTGCTCCTACTGACTGAGCTCTCATGTCAAGTATTAAAGGCTTGTCTCTGCCCAGACTCCCTGGGGTTACCCAGAAGCTCCCTGAGGGAGAGGTGTCTCCCTCCAATTCCAACTGTAGCCTCTTTTCAATAAAACTAAGTTACCATCATACAAAATACTGTTAGACACTCACACTGGGAAAGATCCATGTACCACATCATCTTACCCAACAAAACCGTAATTTTCTTCCAACTTCTCTTTGAAAACACACAACTTCTACTTTCTTGTAGAAAACAACTGTCTGCAAGGCTGTCTGGCACCTCATTTGAGCAGGCAGTCAGCCTTGACCTTATTCATGAAGTACATTGGAAGCAGCTTGTACATGAACTTCTGGATGAAGGAGACGAGCCACCCAAAGGCCCTGCCCTCCTTACTCACTCCCAGCAGTCCCAGCCTTCACAGCTCCTCTTAAAACAGGCCCTTTCTCATCCTGACATGAACAAAGAAGCACGTCTCCCAGGGGCCTCAAGGGCTGGGTTCAAGCAACAGGGGTGTAATGCCTTCCTTCCCCAGCCCTCTGCACACCTCCCTGCCACCCGTCACTTAAGGAAATGAAAGCCACTCGTTACTTCTCAAACTAATTCACACATTCATTCACTCATTCTCGCAGGTACTCATTCATGAGTGCTGAGTACCTACTAGTAATGGCTGTCCTTTCTGTACACCTTCCACTTGGCCATCCTTCCTGCAGAGACAGCCTGTTACTGTAACCTGCCCTGCTGTTTCCTTCTATCATCACTCTTCACAGAAAAGGTCAGAACCACATCACTTTGGTTAGCTTCCTCCTCGCCTAGTAGAGCTGCACCTCATACTAGTATCCTGGGGCTATTCAAGAAAGGCTTCCATTAGTATATTACACCTTAAGCCAGCTGGGCAGGCAGAAAGGGTGCTGCTGAGAGGATGGACCCAGTGGCTGACACAAGGGCCCTGGAGTGAGGAAGCAAAGTGAGAGACCCAGGATGTGAGAGCAGAACAGTAAGAATAGGGGCTTACCAGCCCCCGAGGCTGCCATACCACATGGCCCTCTGCTATGGCACTTCCAGGCGAAGCCCACTCAGTGTGAAGGAATGTTTCTGGTGGGTCAAAAAGCTGTCAGAGTGAGGCTGGCCTGCGAGCCTGCTCTTCCTCAGTCGGAAGCTCCACTGGAGGTTAACAAAAGCAGCCTGTATTCTGATTCTTGAGTCAGCTTTATTTCTCTGCTTAAGGAACCCTGCACAGGCAATTCAAATTAAAACAAAATAAATATATGAATATTCATGTAAAACTGTTCTTTCTAATGAACAATTATACACAATGTACAATTTCATGTTCACTGGGTGGGTTTACAAAAATGTACCATTCCCAACTAAAAATGCACCAAAATAGTTCCATGCAAACTTATCAAAAGTGACCAAAAATATGGAGGGAAAAACCTGACTGAGAGCACTTTGTCTTTTTTTTTTTGTACAATCACAGAAAAATAAAAACATCTAATTTTTTGTTACATTTAGAGTAACTAAATGTGGCCACTGTTTATAATGTTGGTTTATGTCCCTAAAACATCTATGTAGTTACCATAAAAGTGTATCAACATTAAGTAGGAAGTGAGCATTGAGAAAAACAGGATGCATGTGCCCACGGTGGTCAGTAGTCGGTGTCCGAGCCCTCAGCATTGTCCACGTTCCGTGAGAGCATATAGTTGTCCATGTCGATCGAGCGGCAGTTGTTGATGGCATAGCGCAGGCGCTCAGCCATGACCAGCTGGCTGGAGTAGGGGGGCAGCCGCAGCTGGAAGAAGCAGGTCTGTGAGGTAGGCAGACTGTCATAAGGCTGTGGAAAGAGAGACCCAGAGCAGTGACTGTAGCATCAGGGGGTCACAGGCGAGTGGAGCCACCCATCACCACCGCCCCAGGAAAGCACTTCTCCCCGCCCTCAAGATGGGCTCCATGGACATGGCCCACTTGAGAAGGAGAGACTGGGCCAAGGCAGGAATAGTGTGCGCTCTGCTGTCTGCTGGCCATCAGGCTTTTGGTGAAGATGCTTCCTTCCTCTCCTCACTCCCCCAAGGGCTCATGTGCAAAGTGGCAGGATTACTTGAGAGAACACGCTTCACAAAGTACCTGCCAGAGTAAGAATGCGGTGGAGCTCGTTCCCTTTCACCAAAAGGGTGCAAGCTTGACGCTGCCATACAGCTCCCCCAACAGAGCCAGGGAAATGGAAGGAACACCCCCCTGCCCTAACTGTGCAGTCTGCACCCCTCACCTGCCAACACACAGCAGCACGCAGCTCAGGTAAAGACAGGGCAATGAATTAAACCCCAGTCCATCCATTTAACTGATGACTATGTTGACTAGCAGCAAAAGAGAAAGGTGCTCAGGATAAATTGTTAGGTGAAAAAAAGCAGAACACAAAACTCTAAATACATCATGCAAAATGTGTATGCTTGAAGCAAAGACGGGGAAGAATTACTCAAAGGTGGAAGGTGTAAATGGCTACTAGTAGATCCCTGTCCCTCCCTGCAAACACAACTATTTTCCAAACTATTTGTAATAAGAGTAATGATAGCGCATTATTTTTATACTTTTTAAAATCAGTTCTTAAAAAAGAACTTGCCCTCTCCTTGTTCAACTCCTTGAAGCCAGCCCCCACCCCCACCCCCTCAGAGCCCTATACCAGATGAGTACATTTTGAAGAGGTGAGAGGTGGAGGGCCCAGAAGTGTGACTATGCCAGAACCAGAGATGACTAAGAAAGCTTGAATGCAGAAAATCTGACCGAGCAAAGACACTGAATCAGGTGGCTCTGATTGGAAACTGGAGAAATGGCCTAAAAGTCACAAAGGAGAGACCCAAAGTGGTCAGTTTTAAGACTGAAAACCCCCAGGCAGGGGATTAATTACTGGTGGATTAACTCCTGGGACTGCAGGGGTAGTCTGGGATAGAAATGAGGCAAAGATTCTTTCCAGAGCTGAATAAAAGCAAATGATTTCCCCCTCTGCACCTCTCTCAGAAGCAACAAAACAGATTTACAATTTAGTTTCTGGCAAGTCATGCAGAAAATTTATGGGAGGCTCTTTTCATAGCCTTTCCTGTGCGTGCCCTCTCCAGCAAGCCTGGTGCAAGAGTGCAGCCCAGGTGGCAGCTTCAGGAAGCAGTGGCGGGGGACAGCCTTGGCTGCAGCCACCTTCAGGAGGAGTTACTGGAGGAGCACACGAAGGCAGACACTGAAGCCTGCTGACGCTGGTGGGAAGGGTGCTGGTGTGAAGAGGCCTGACTCTCCTTACTGTTTCTGGGAAAATTTCATGGGCCCTGCTTGCAGGACTGCCTAGGTCTTAGGGTGCAGGTGGGGTGACAGAAGGCACAGAGACACTTCTAAGCTCATGTTGAGTTTGAGGGGCATACCAAATATCCAGGGGGTGGACAGAAGGAGATTGAAGTCTGCCCCCAGGAATGGTCGGAGGGCACAGGAAAGCATCCAGGAGGCAGTGACACTGTGTTGGGCTGAAGGATGAATGAGCTCTTGCCAGAAATAGATGGAAACGGTTGTGAAGGAAAATTTACTAAAGCAGAGGGAACAGCTTACACAAAGTCATGGGAGTCTAAAGAGTACGGTCTACTGGAGAGAAAGACAAGAAGCCCATTATGGCCAGAACATAGTAAGTATCAAGAGGGGATATATCAGAAAGCAGGGCAGAGGCCAGACTGTGGGGGTGTGTAAGGCTGCTGAGGTGGGTCAGCTTTTATCCTGGAGTTAATGCAGGGGCCCCGAACAGTCTGAAAGGAGGAGCATGGCATGGTAACATGGGTGCTTCAGAAAAACGACTATGGCAGCAGCATGAGGCTCTAAGTCCTTTCGTTCTTAAGCCACTTGTCAGAATAGCAGCTGGGCCGGAGCTTGCCTATGGGGGCCCTTCCCTGGGCCGCAGAGACGCCGCACTGCCTGCTTGATGACGCTTGCCACACAAGTAGCTGCAGAGCACGGCACTGCTACTCTGCACGTCACGTACACCAGTTAATGGTTAGCATCTTCAGGAAAATAAACAAACAAAACTGTCCCAGTACACAAATCATACAATGAAATGACATAGGAAATAAGAGGCAGATGCGACACGAAGACCCCTCTGCCAGCTTAGCTTTCACTCAGGAAGATACTGGAAGATTTAGTGAAGGTTGTCAGTTGTAGTGTGCTATCTACATTCATTTAGACTCTTACCACAGAAGTTACGTCATGTTTCTAATCTAGAAATTTGAAGCATTAAGACTGAACTGGTAGGCCTACTTGATGGTCACAGTTTGGTTTCCCCAACATACAACCAACCAGGGAGCAACTAAAGGCAGCACTACTAAAGGATTAAAAATAGCTTACTTACCCTATCAACCTTCATGATTTGAAATCTCTGAGAAATGTCAGCAGTGTTGGCTGGTAGTCGAGATCTTCCAGACACAAACCTCATGAAAAGTACCCGCTCCTCATTGGAAAACTCCTCCAGCGTGTGCCAGAACCACTGCACCAGCTGATGCTGCTCATCCACCTCCCGGTACCGCACCACCTTCTTCAGTACTTCCACAGAGATCTCAGGCATCCCACACACCATTTGCTCCAGCTGTTTAGCTGTGAGGAGGGACAGCAGCGGCACGGGGACGATCCAGGACATCCCTTCTCGGACTGCAGCCACCTGCTCCCAAGAGAGGTTGTTCATTCCACACGTGTGCAGAGGCTGGGCACCCATCGGGGACCCAGGTGGGCTGGGTTCCTCCTGCCTGCTCATTCACTCCAGAGACCCTCCCCTTTCCTCAGAGCTCCAGGCACAAGTGGGCCACTCCCCCACGCTGCTGACCTGTGGTTAGGGCTTCTCTGTTTGTGGGGCTCGTACGCTCCTTCTGCTCCCAGTGCAAGTCAATTTAGGAGCCCACCTTCCCTTCTGCACGAAGCCCAGCCCACTAGGGACCTCCCCAATGCCAACCCCGCTCACTCGTATTCCTAATCACATGGGCTGCCTGGTGTTAAACTGGGCTATGTGGGATACTGTCTCCTCATCAGGGGAAGAAGCTCTTGGAAGATGTAACTAGTTTCTACTGCTTTTGTAATTTATATTTTTCTTTTGTGAACATTTTTTTTGTTTCTAAAAATTATTTGTGCTCATTGTAGAAAAAAGAAAAGTACAAATAAAAACGTGAAACTGCCAAGTCCTTTCATAGGAAGGCAGTAGGAAGGGCACAGAGCTTAACTGGGACTTGGGTTCTGAATCCCAGCTCTACCACTTCTTTAAATTTTTTGCATCTTAAAAATAAGGCAAATAAATTGAGCATTGACTCCCCTATACAGAATTTTATTGTTGTTAACAACCATTTGATCAATAAATATGAGAGATGCCCTCTCAAAAAAAAATAAGGCAAATAATTGCTGTTCACATGACTACTGTGAGATTTTGAAATGAATAATGGCATGGAAGTCTGTGTGACTGGGGAGTTAGCTGCTTCTATTCTCTCAGCACAATGCCATCAGGGGCTGGCTGGGCCTGGGCAGGGGGCTGCCTGGGCCGCAGCAGGGCTCAGCCTCCACATGGGCTCTGCACTGCTCAAGGTGTGTTTCATACATACTTCTTCAAACTTGGCCAACTCAAAACTATCTATGATAAAAAACAAAACCAAGCCCAAGAACCGGTCAGGGAGCCACGCTTTGGGGAAGGTACAAGGCTGTGACTGGTATAAGACTGTCATGCCCAAGGCTAAGGAACAGGATTGGCGGGGAGGGCAGCCTAGTTGCTGTTAAAGGAATACGCCAGCCAAACTCTGCCAAAAAACAAGCTTTCATGCCTGGTAGAATACAAACCAAAGGCTGTCTGAAAAGAAATGAGGCTGAGGTATGGGGCTGGTTCTAGGTGAGGTATGAGAGTAGCTATGGGAAGAACACTGGGTTCTGAGGGACAAGGAGGAAGAAGGAGAGGAAGAGATCTCATTACTGAGAAAGGAACAAGTGAGGGTGAGCAGAACACAGCTGATGACAGAGGGCCAACCGACCCTGAGAGGAAGCACCAGAAGAGCCCGGACCCCACGGTTAAAGCTGGTTTGAAATCCTGGCTCTGCCTTGGGCATATCAGTGCATTTCTCTGGACCCAGTGCCTTCATCTGTGAGATGGTGACAGTCACCCTTATCTCACAGAGTCACTATGGGAAAATTGCACAAGAGGGTGCCTGGCACCACACCTGGCAGACGGGGCAATTGCTGCATTTTCAGACAGTTATTTGATGAGGACTAAAATCATTCGAGAACTGCAGACAATACTGGGCCCATGCTGTATAAACATATCGTTGACAAGACCCACCCTCACTAAGCAAAGGGATATAGTTTTCTTATTGCACTTGGTGCAAAAC